ATTCAGAAAGAAAATAAGTCAACCAGAAGATGTAATTTAAAAGATCCAAAAGATTTTGGAGTATGTCTGAAATTATTCATCATCCAATTACTCACAACTGTTTAAAATAAATCCCTGACCAACAAGTTTGAGACTTCAGAATATTAAGTGCTTGGTTATGGCCTTGAAATAAACTAGTTTTTCAAAACACACCTAATAAAAATATTTTAATGAGATGGTTTGGGGAATATACTTAGGTACTCTAAGGGCAAACAGCATTTATTAATTTGTTTACGCTAATTTAGCCAAGGATTTGCATTCCCTGTACGGTTGTTTCAAATCTTTTTAAATTTTACTCAGAGCCGCATCGTGATACCCCTGCCCTGCCAATACGCAGCAGGTGAAGCGAGCCTCTAATCATTTTAACTGATAAAATGAGGAAACTCACCAAGCTTCCCTCACTCGCTGTTCCTTGGTCCCTCGTCTCATCTAATTACCTGTTTTTCAACCTCAGAAGGAAGCAAGGCCAGGGCCAAACAGCTCCCTGTGATTCCCACCATCCTCACCCTCACCTTCAGGACTCAGCTACCTAACCCATCCACCCTCTTCGGCTGCCTTCCTCTGTGCTGTCAAATACCGTATTCCATTCGTAACACAAACGAAAAATGGAACTCGCTAAGACACCTTTCCTCTATGTTTACGCTCCCTTACACAACTAGCCCGCCCTCTCTGCCCCTACTGCACCACATTTCTGGGGGTAAGCAGCTTCTGTGTATAAGCAGTAACCCTCCCCAGCCAGACACTCAGCTGCTACACTGTGGCCTGGTCTCAGCCTCGTCACGGTCCCGCAACTCCACTCCCACACCCACGGTCAAGCCAACCTCAGCTATGTCCACCCCCCACAGCGGGCTTTCCAGCCTCTGTGAGATGGACAAATGACTCTCCTTACTCCCAGAGGAGGCCCATCAGAATCCCTCAGAACTCTAGAAACCAAGTCATGTGTTGCTCGTCCAGAGCTTTTGTCTGAAGCCCCAGAAGCTCTCATGGGAACCTCATGACATTGGCCCCGTCCTTGGATTACCTTCCCTCACAAGGGTGCAGGTTCTCTGAAGGCGCCACTAGGCGCTGTGACGTAGAGAGCGAACACGATGGACTGGGTTTGAATCCTGCTCTGACTTCCTCTGTGGTCACCGGCAAGCTCCTCACCATCTTTGATCACCAGTTTCCCCAAATGGGAGACTGGAATAAAATACCCCCTCATAGAACTGTGGTGAAAATTACAAGAGATAGCAAGGAAGGATCCGGCAATCGAACATGTTTATAGATTTGATTTTTTTTTTTTCTATCAGGTCCAAATTATTCAGTTTAGGCTGAAGCTGCCTGTGGCAATAAAACATGTCATTTTTTTATCCATTTTTTTGGATAGGCTATAGAATATAAATGCAAACATCTGAGTGCTTCAAATTTATTCTCATTTTTCATTAAGGAAGCAGGAAAAGAAACCTGTTCCTTTGAGTATTCTTCCTTGAAATGAAGAGGGAGGGAGGAGGGGAAGCAGAGAGAAAGAGAAGTAAGAAAGGGAGGAAAGTTGGAGGGAGAAGGAAGAAAGAGGGACGGAGGGAGGGGGAAAGCTGGGAGAGAGACTTAATGTTTTTATACGAGGAAAGTTGAATGTTATTCAACTGAAAACGCAGAGGTGCTTCCAAAACACTATTTATAAAGCTCAATTCCTTCAGATTTCAAAATACTTACAAACATAAGTCAGCCTGTAAATCAAATAAGTGTTTCCTATCTACTCCCCAAGGTTTCTGAAGTAACCTGCTCGAATATGACTGTAGATGAATCTTAAGGAGCTGCTTTGCCTGTTTTCTTAACATGGCTTGGCCAGGAGTTGTGAGCGTTGGCTCAGAAGACCTGGTTAGCAGAGTCCAGCCAACACGCCTCACAACTTAGCACTGAGTGGGGCTGTGAGCCAAACTGGTCCTAGGCTCTCGGCAGAAGAGTTATCCTAAATAACCAAGGCAAAAGGAAGTGGGGAGGTTCTGTTCTAATCATGCAAATGAGGTTGGCTAAATTCTGTCATTTTCTAAGCCTCCCACAATGAAAATAGCAACTATAAATATGAGAAAACATCCCAGGACCTAACTTCTACATAATATTACTGATTTGCTTCCCTTTTGGGGGATGCTGAAGACTTCCCAAAAAAGAAACCTACATTACTTTTAATCTGCCACAGAGCTTGGCTCCACATCAGTCATCTTAAGAAAATCTAAGAACTTCAAAATGCATTAATCCCCAGTGAACTGGATCGTTGTAATATATTCACTCTCAGTGTCTTGGCAAAGTAGCCCCATGTCACTAGCTTAATTGGTGGCAGGTTATTTTCCAGTTGTCAAATAAACTTTTCCTATTTAAGAGTCAGCAATAAAAACATTCACTCATAAAGGAATTGAATAATTTGGAACACGAACAACATAAGTATTTATTTGACAAACATTTTCCATTTAAGTCAAATGGCAAATCAGCTGTAGTAGCTTCTTACTACTAATTCTAATTTGCACTCACAGTTGCTTTTATTCACCATATTCAAAGATATTGCTACAGAAAACTATTTCACAAAGTATTTAGAAAAAAATATATACAGTCTCTCCAATAGACAGTTAATTAAAATAACAAGCCAGGCGATATAAAGCTAAGATATGAAACAAGCTGACATTTATAAACACAAATAAATAAATATGTACAAAAGAGTATATGCCCATAACAAACAAAGAAAAGCTTTACAATGCAAGTAATAGTGACAATAATGGAAAATATCTCAGGATCCTAGACTAAGACTCTAACAAAATGTAGTTTAAAAAGAGGAAAAAGAAGAAAAAAGAAAAACAGAATCTGAATTGATCTTATTCTCAAAGTTAGGCTAAACTAAATATTGGCTCCACAGCTAAAGTCCTGTAATTCTGTTCTGAGGGGGCCAATGAAGTGGAGACCTGCATGCTGAGAACTGAGGATAGACTTAGAAAAGATCAGTCTTTTCTATCCATGTGCAAATATTTCTGTTCAGCTAGTTCTTCGTTTTTCCTTGCCTGGTTATTGGAAATTTCTCAAGTGGAGCTGATATTGTTGTCAAATACGGAAAAAAAAAATGTTTTCCCACATCTGGATGAATACGAGTAGAAGTCAAAGTTATTTTTGAAGCTATCTCTTAATTACTATAATTAAGTAAGAAATCTCACAGTAGAAAGCTAATTAAATTCTATCATGAATCTCTAAGGCTTGGGAGAAAGCATATGGAGATTCGGTGACTCTCTAAGGTTAATTTTCACCTATATGTAACCTCTGCCAGAAGAGGCAGCCTGTTCTATTGCCTAGAGAAAGGATGTGGCTCTACTGGAGTGAATCTTAGTGACATTATTACTATCCTTTCCTACTATATACACCCCTCCCCGTGAAAGCCAGGCTGGGCAATGATCCTCTCTCCCAGGACACTGTTCTAGGATGCTGCAAAATGGAACAGTAATAAAAACCCACCACCACATTATCTTACCATCCATTCAAGTCTAGCAAATAGCTTCACGACTGAAGATCAGCAAAAGGTGAAAAGCCCTTTGGTTGCTGCCAAGCCTGGAAGCTCTCCTATGTCTCAGACTGAGAGCTACCTGCTCTGTGCAGAAAGAGAGAGGCCCTCAGGGGCTCAGTCCTGGCTTCTGCATTTAAGCAGACTGGCTCTGCCAGAATTCTCATCTCCTCACCACTTAGGCTGCTACCTCTCAGAACCTGATACTTCCCAGATAACCCGGGGCAAATGTACAGGTACAGCATGTACTGAGACCAATTTCTAAGGAACTGGAAATGCCTCCATCATTTAAGAACAATTAAAATGTAATCTCCCGCACATTCACTAGCAAGCATATTAGCCAGGATAGTTTGAAAGTTTGGTAAGCTGCTTAATATTATGCATGGCTTGTATGCAGAAACCTAATCCATAAATAACACAGCATCTACCTTGCCAGACCTCCTCTGGCTCTCATAATCAGAGGACTTATGTACAAATAGTTTTCAGACTAGCAATTGTAGACCCACATGTTTATAAATTAGTTTGATTATCATAAGTCACCCACATGTCTCAGTTTATATTCCTTGGAACAGAACTCTTGAAGGAGGAAGTAAGAGGCTTTTCATTTGTGCAAATGGAAATGTCTTCAAGTCTCAGAGCAAGGACAGGACCATAGAGTCTCAATGGTTGTATTTTCTAAAAGAGAGAGGCCATCGTACACAGCATGCCTAATGGAAATTCTCATTCCGCCCATGAGCCCGTGGGCTCAATACACAGTAGAGAAGCAACAGCAGAGGTGGAAGAGATTCATTCTTCAACACTGCTGCAAGGTCTACATTAATGGAACATCAACACTAAACTTAACATGTGGGATTAAATTATAATTAATGATGATATTTAAGCCTTGGGTCTTAAATAGGATAAGTGAAATAGAAATTTACATGGCCTCATGTTAACGAGATCAAAATTTGGGGAATTCTTTCTTTCTTAAGCATGTTATGGTCTTGAAGGTTAAATGTTTGATGTAAGAAGAAAAAATTCCTTTCTAATCTTTGGGTCAGACATTAAACATTCTTTTGTATCTGTGGTTGAAATTTCACTGAAAAAGAGAAACTACTACTGGATTCATAGAAACCAGCACTGAGCCGTGTATCCAGAATTGTGCGCATCCAGAATACTAGAGAATATTAATATGCTTTTGATTGTTGAGAAAGACGATACAGCGAATGGCCATGCCCAACTCTAACTATTTGGTGGGGTGGGAACGAGCTCTGAACCAGGGCTTTCCCCTAGCTCTGCCTCTCCCTTGTCCTCCTATTTTAATGTCTCCCCCGAGTTCTGATTAGTCTGATACAATCATATATTTTAAAAAAAATCATATCCCCTATGGCTACTGAGCCATGTTGCTCTCAGTACTGAAGTTTTAGTGATGATAGAAACCACCCCATGGAAGAAATTCACTGAAAAGACAGATTTTGAATTTCACAAAAGCCTTCTTAAAAAAATACAGTTCTCATATACATGCAGTTACCTAGGCAACTGCAGGTTTACATCTGCTAGTTATAGTTTTCACTGCGTGCAGATCTTCATGTTTCTGCAGACTGAGTCCTCTTATTCTTATATTACAGACATTAAAACTTTGTGCTGTGGCTGAAGGAGTCTGACAGGATAATATTCTTATAGAAGTTATCTGAATGAGCATTGCAGTAACCCTTGACCTTGTCAATGACCTGATGGACAGGAATGATTGATGTCTGTTCTCCATCAGCATGAGTCAGTTTTGATGAGGACTTGTCCATGGAAGCATTTTCTGCAAGAAATGAGATGAGAAATTAGGCTGCAAGATGAGCTGGTGACAAGCCTCAGGGCCACCATACCGCACACTCTATTTTGCACAAAGGAAAGGAACCGAAGTTCCTTCTTAGGTTAGGTAGTAGGCAGCACCAGAATTTTAGGGTTTTCATCTTCAAAGTACATTCTTAGGTATGAATGAACGTTAACTTGCCTTCTACTAACTCGTGTTGGGGCTTTAAGAAATGTTCTTGTGATATTTTTTAAAAAGAATAGAATAATTAGAAAACTGCCACAAAAATATATGTGGCAAATGGCTCAAAAGAAGAAGTAACAGATTATATAACAAATGAATCAAAAGATGCTGAAATATTTATGAAAGAAATTATATGATGTCTAAGATATATTTTCAAAATAATACAGGAGGGGGAAAATTGGTAGGTGGCTACGAGTTGATAGGTACAAGGAGATTCATTATTCTGTCCTATTTTTTATTGACACTTTTCATAATAAAAAATTTTATAAAATGTAATTTAAAGGACTTTGGAGAATAAAAGTGAATGAAAATAAACATGAAAGGCTATTTCGAACACATTTTCCCATGGTTTTTAGCTGGTGAAATGACTGGGATATAGAAAACAGGCATCTTTTATTAAATATTTTTAAATTAGAGAAATCAGAATTATCTTTATCAGAAATATTTTAAGTACATGTTTTTATTAACTATGCTACAGTCTCAGAATGATGTTATTACTGACAGTAATATCATAGCAATTGACAGTAATAAATGACTGCTAACAGAATAAATTCTGTTCTGAATTTCTCAGTATCATATATTTAAATATTATTTCCTTAGACCCAAAAGGTTTCTAAAATTGGCTCAGACAGTGCTCTGAAACTCACTTAAGCTCTATTATCTACCAATACATATGGCTGTCTTCATGTACCCTATGAATATCCTATAAGTATCTGCCCTCTTCCTTTTCCCAACACGTTTTGGAGAAAAATTCTACTCTAAAATTAACCACAGAGATTTCACACCCAGGAAGGAGCAAATATGACCTTCTACAAAATACTCAGTTCCCTACAGACATATCCTCTTTATTCACTGTGGAAGAGGCAAAATCACAATCATGAAAACTGCTTCTAGGAATCACGGCTCCAAAACTGGAATGTTCACTCCAGGCGTTTTATGTTTTGAGGTAAGTTGGACCCAGTATGTGACACCACATTAGAAATCCATCAATAATTGGTAAAAGTCATCATCACTGCATCTGTTGTCTTTGGAACCGACTCAAATTGTTCAACTGCCGTCTTGTGTTGGAGCAGACACTAAATAAAATGAAGGCTAAAACAGGAAATGGTGTCCTCACTCCACACACTAAAGGAAGCAAGAGAGAATAGACAGTTTATGGGAAGGACAGGCAGACTGCAGCAGGGCAGAACGATTATGTCCCAGGATCG